TCCTATGTCATCAGACTTCACTTAAGAACCTCTTTTAGTTCTGAACCATCAAAAGCCAAGAGCTCAACTTCTCTCAAATGCGTTCTCTTAACAGATTCTGAGTATACTCTCTTTAAGTTTTGGATCCTGCATACTTAGAACATACATTAGATAATACCATTGTTCTTTCAATATTTTGTTATCATTAAAATCTAAAGGATATATGTCATGAACAAATCTTATTTAACATACTATCCAAATTTATCCACCATTGGCATATGAAAAGACCTTAAAAAATGTGTATTCAAATGCTGAATTTTATTAAATACTTATATTTTTTTTTCAAATTCATTTTAAAATGAATTTTGTATTAGAAAAAAGGTAAGAATGAGAGACAAGTTTAGTATATCTGAAGTTGGAAAAGTTCTTTGGAACTATCATGATTGAAGCAAGGAACAAAAGTGATAGATGCTAAGGAGTTCATTAGTGTCGTCTCATATAGCAGACAAGCTCTACACATATCAAATTTATCAAGGACTGGGTCACCTACATCATTATGGAATTTCATCTTCAAATGCACCCAAGAGACTTCCAGCGTTGCAAGAAATAATCTTCTAAGAATTACATTGTAGACACTTTCACAAGCAACCACAAATAAAAATATGTTTACAATTCTCCTATTCTCCCCTCTGCCGAAGTAAATCGACAGATCTACTATTCCATATTGTCGAGTTGAGGAGTCATTGAATGCTAAAAGGCTATTTCTTTCATATGACTTTAGATCTTAAATGTGTAACACTAACTTCTTAAAAATATTGAGACACACGAGGTTATAAGAGATATCATCATCAATGAGGATCCCAACCACCGAATGATTGGCTATGGTGGCAGCTACAACCATTATAAATGTCATGTTTGAAGTTCCGCCCACCTTTTCGTAGTATCAAAACCCTAACATCAATTTATCTTTTTGTCGCTTCTCGATCTGTATAATGCTATGTGATATAGGCTCTTTCTCACCAAGTGGTCTTTGGTCGATAGAATCGACGATGGTGATTTGAAACGTTTCGACACCAGAAGGATAAAAAGTACTATGGGAAGTGAGAGTTGATTTCTTCATTTTAGCATTAATGTTACAATAATCATGACTTGTATCAATGGATCTAATAATGGAAATTTGTAAGAATCATGAGTCGATTCCTACAAATGGCACAATTGTTCTGGATCGAATCTAGAGATAATCAATGAGACGATAAGGTAAGTCTTAATACATTGAATAAAAAATGGATTAATCTATAAGGTTATCACTCCAACGACTAAGTCATTGAGAAAATAACAAGTAATATGTGAAAAAAAGCATACTTTTTTCTTGTCATAAATTATAAGCTAGAATTTCTAATTTTTATCTATTTTATTATTTTATTTTAAAAATGCATAGTAAAATTAAACCTAAACTTATCTATTTAATTTTTCTAAAGTAAAATTAATTATTTTAATTTTTGTTTATTTAATTATTTTATTTTTAAAAAGCATCTTTTCTAAAGTAAAATTAAATGTAATCTTATCGATTTATTTTTTTTAACAAATTCAAAATGGGTTTTTTTTTTCCAAACTTTAAAAGTTGCTTAATTTAAATTGTAAAATAATAAAAAAATAGATGACTAATGAAAATAACAATAATAACTTTTATTTAAAAAGTTATTTTATTATATAATATGTAACAAATATAATCTATAAAATATTTCTAAAAATCAATTTCCATTTTTTATATTTTTTTAATAAATAATATATGTAATATATTATATTGAATTATTTTATTTTATTTTATTTTTTTAAATATTTGTTACATTTAAATTTTTATTTTATATTTTATTCAAGTTAATGTAGTGCCTATTTGAATTTATTTCTATACCTTTTATCACATGTAACTTTTATTTAAGAATATTTATTTCATTCTATTTAAATATTTATTTATATGATTTTTCAAATATCAATTAAAAAATACTGATCTAATTTCATTATTCTTTTTAATTTATTTTTTATATCTCTTGTTTGTATAAATAAAATAAAACATAATGAGTGTAATAAATTAAATTATTGTGATTTTTTAAAGATAAAAATTGACTTTTTTTTTTTTTAAGAACTAAATTGACTTTTGCAAAATTTTTAGATTTAAAAATGTTTTCACTCAATCAACAATTTTTTTCAAATAACTAAAAATAAAATAAAACAATAAATTATTAATTAATTAAATAATTTGTTTTTTACGAAGTGGGTCTCTTTGTAACTCATTGTTTCTTAGTGAATGATTCATTTACTTATTTGATGGGGAAAAAAAATTAATGCTAACATGTGTCTGACACATGTTAAAAATTTATAAATAGAAAATTTATATTTAAAAAATTGGTAAAAAATTAGTTATAAATTTTATTAAATTAGTGCATAATTTTCAAGAAAATATTGTTACATTTTGTTTTTAACTTGTGCTTTTAGAATATATTTTAGTATTACCAAAAAATAATCATTTTAATGCATTATATTTATCAAATATTCCTTCTATCCCATATTTTCTTAGCATTTGTAAAACAATATTTCCATTTTTAATTTTTTTTCTAAATAAAACTTTAATATTTTGTGTTTTTATGTTATGCTCATCAATTTTAAATTATTTTTCTCCAATCTATGATAATAAAATTATAATTATAGGATCAGCTTAGTTGATAATTTTGCAAAAAATATTTTTTATATGAATATTAGTTTGATTATGTGACATTTTAGCTACTCGTTTCTAAGAAATGAAATACTAACCACTAAATTATTTAAAAAAAACAATCAACAAAATTTATCATTCCATTTATTTTCTTTAACTTTTAAGTAATATAATGCAAGTGAATAATAATAAAGAGTGAGGTTGAAATCGATTACAAAGATAATACATAAAGGTGGAATAAAAACAACTAAGAAAAATGACAACTAAGAGATTCATAAATTTTTTAGATACAAAATTTAACTTTTTCTATTAATACATTTAAAACATATTTATTTAATTTAAAATTATAATAAATTATAAAGGATAAAAATAATTTTTAATTAAAATAGCTTTTCAGGATAAAATTATAAAGGATAAAAACTACAAATTTAAAATCTATTTTAAATAGTTTTTAGAAAAATCACAAGTTAGTAAAATCATAAATGGTTGCATGATAAATAAAGAAATATTAATATTTTATTGAGACAGATAATATTTTAAAAGTAATATAAATAATATTAATTATATATATAATTAATAGATATAATTAATATTAAATTGAAAATAAAAACTACACTTATTTTAAGATACGTAAATTGAAAAACCTAATACAACTAATATTAAATCTAATTTACAAGTAGCAGATAATATCGAATTAAATTTTAAAGTTTTTCTTTTTTACCATATGCAGCCGAAGAAAAAAAAAAGGAAAAAATAAAAAAAGAAAAAAGAAAATAGGAGTGCAACGACTTTCCTTCTTTTGTGATTCTTGTCTGTCCTATTCTTCTTCTTTTTTTCTTCTTCTGCCTATTCTAGAAAACAATATTAAAAGAAGTGAAAGAGATGCACCAAACTAAAGAACACAAGATACAGACAATATCTTATTTTTATTTTTATAATTCTTCCAGAATGTACTAAAGGTCCAATCCATTAGAAAATCTCTAACATCAAAGTAATCAAATATAAACCGATCAAAAATAAAATTATAAACCATTTAAATAAAATAAAAAAGCTGAATTTTATTGAAATGTTGTTGTGGATAGTAGTTCGAATCAAGTGAATTTTCAATTTCTCTTTTAAGAACTAAACTAAATCTAAACTTGTATATAATTTAATATTTATGTTATTATTTTATTAATATAATATATATTTTAATTTTAATAGTATATTAAACTATTTTTTTTATTATTTCATAAAAAATTTGTACAAATGATTTAAATATTTATATGTAATAATTTATTATCATTTTATAATATTTATTTTAATTATATTTTACATAAAACTCATTACTTTATCATATTTATAATATTAATATGATTATTAATAATTGTAAATTAAATATTTAAAATAAATTTAAATTATATTTTATTAAATTTATAAATAAAACAACTTTTATATATAAACTAATTCAATGCACATACTTTAAAATCGAAACTTTTTAAAATCGAAACTTTTTAATAGTATAACGCTCATTTACAACTCATTTTCTTAATCAATAAGAAAAATATAAGATAATATTGAATTCGTTTTAATAATATGTTAAAGGTCTCTTTTGATAAAATTATTTATTTTATTCTTTTTATAAATAAAATATATTTTTTAAGTTAAAATTAAATATAAGTTATATTTAATTTATTTTCTCTCACATTTTTCCCTAAACAATAACCAATGAAAATTATTTTTCCATTTTCCCATAAAATACATTCTAAATATGTATATTTCCCAAGTTAAAATTATATTAAATTTGCTTTCTCTTTATTTTTTTCATAAATAACAATCAATTAGAATTTATTTTATACTTTTCTATAAAACATTTTTAAAAAAAGTAGAAAAATTTAAATTTTCTTAATAAATATAAAAAATATTAATTATTTATTTATTTATAAATCTTATATATAGACTTGAGCATCACTTGCAATACCACACACCTCTTCAAGAGAACCACACATCTCTTGAAGAAAACTATTCACTACCTCACTCAATTGACATACTAGTACTAGTACTTATCTAGTATTAAGAGTATTTATTTATTTTTAAAGTTTTTATTTATTTGTTTCTTTGGGTTGAGTGAGTGTGAGTATTCCCCACACATATTTAAACCCTTGAAAAACTAAGCACACACTAATATTCTATATAATCTTCTCTCTCTGTCCCTACTCGCCCCTGAGATAAGAGAAAACCCACCACCACACACACAAACCCTCACTCATAAGAGATTAGAGAGAGAAATCCAAAAAATCAAAAACCCAAAGAGTGTGTTTTGTATAGTGTGATGGATAAAAGCTCTGCCGACTCTTCATCATCTGATAGAGATAACTATCTCAGACACCTCAACAAGCTTTCTCACAAGATCTCAAAACCCATTCTCAACAATAACACCAACAACAAAAAACCATGTTCTTTCGAACAACAACCTCAAATTAATAACAATAATCCTCTACAACATCAACCTCCTGTTTACAATATCAACAAAAACGATTTCAGAGATGTTGTTCAAAAACTAACGGGCTCACCTGCGCACGACCGTATCTCAACACCTCCGCCTATTCAGCAACCCAAACAACAAAGCTCACGTCTTCAACGAATCCGTCCTCCGCCGTTACCTCATATCACTAACCGTCCACCGCCGTTACTTAACGTCCGTCCGCAACTTCCTCCGCCGCAGAACTTTAACTTTAACGGTGTTAACTTTAATCAGGGATTTCCCGGGTTTGGTAGACCTCAAGCGCCGTTATCTCCGTTGCCACCGTTTCCCACCGTTCATGCTGCTGCTGAATCTCCTATCTCCGCTTACATGCGCGATCTGCAGAATTTTGTCTCCACCATGGATTCCAAAAGCTTCTCCGGGTTTTCTCCTTTGCCTCCTCCTCCGGTTTCATCACATCAACCTCAACCAGACCAACAACAACAGCAGCAGGAAGAGCAAGAGCAACAGCGAGAGAATCAACCTCCCCCGCAGCAGGTGGCTGCTCCGCCTGCTCCTCCTCTAGTGGCTCAATCCCTGTTGCAGTTTCAGATGCCGTCTTCCCCGGTTCCTTTTGGGTGTTTGAATTCACAGCTTGCATCTTACCCTTTGCTGTCACCTGGTTTAATGTTTTCCCCCAATTCTGCTAATTTAGGGTTTCCTCAGCTTCCTCTTTCTCCCACCGTGCCGGCTCCGAGTCCGCGGTGGAGAGAAATTTGACTTCAATTGGAGTAAGAATGGTCTGAATCGTCGGTTTTTGCCTCTGGGATGTACATGGTGGTGGTGGTGGATTGGGAATTTATTCAATTTGTGGTGGTTGGACTCAAACCTAGCTAGTCCATTCTACTGCTTAGTGCTAGTTTATTTTATTTATTCTGTAAAAATGGGGTATCAAAATCAGATGAAAGGAACAATTTTGCAATTGTTTTGTTTACTCTTTTTTGAATATTTTGGGATCAGGAAAAACAGAAATTACAACTTGTTATACAAATATAATAGGATCATCATGCTTTTTTAGGTTACAAAAACTATATTGTTATTGACATCATCCTGTTTTTTCTTCAAATATATAATCTTGTTGTCCTAGTCAAGTCGTTATTGTCATTTGTTCCTTTGCTGGTTGTTGCAGACAAAGCTTGTTTAGTTTTAGCATTTGAATTAGTAGTTAGTTTTATGATCATGGTCCCTTGTGTTCCTTCTTTAAGGGACTGTGGCTATATGCAGTTTTTTGGATAAAGGTGAAATTGTTGACTGGTCTTTCAATTATACATGTGCTAGGTAGGTAGTTTGTACTATTCAAAGATGATTGATGGTTTATATAGTTAGGTATTCAAAGTGTGTGGTGTTCTTGAAATTGTTCTGCTCTACCTTAGCATCATTGCTGATGTTGTTCCAGAACAAAATGACATTTTTACTTTCAAATGTACGTATTTTACATGACCAACATTTGTAACATTAGACATTCAGCTTTTGTCTGTCATTTCTTGGGTTTTACATTAGTTTTATGGGGAAGGATGCAGCACAGACATGATGTCTGGTATGGATTGTATGGTAAACTCAAATCCTGTGACAACTCCTAACATTATGATTATACTTGTTGTAAATGGAGCTTAAGCCATCTTAAGCAATTTTAAGCAACATCTAAACCATCTTAAGCAATGCTGATTTCAATAAACAATTTATATTGTCACTTTATATCTGACTCCGCCAATTATCAAATAACTTGCACAAATATCTGAAATCCAATGCTGAAAAAGTTAAGGTACTCTACATATGCAACATGCATTGGAGATGTCGTGTTGCACACTGTTTGTTCTGCATATGGATTGATACTTTACAGAATCACATGATCAATCCTTGTGTAGGGATTGAATACCTTAAAAAAAGTTTGATATCTTGACAATCAAATAAATATATTGAAATTAATTTTAAAGCAAACTTAACTTTACTCAAGAACAATCAAATATATTAAAATGTTTAGGTCTTGTTGAGTATAATTGTTTTTTATTTAGAATTAGAATTGTTTCTAATTCAAAACCAACATTTGATGTTTTTATCTCACAAATTGATTTTTACCTTACCTTGCTTTACACGATCGTATTTAAATATTAATCTTTTATTTTCATTGATTATGCCTGATGTGCCTCACTTTAACTCTTGAACGTCTCATGGGTTAATAGAAAAATGTTGAGTAAGATGGATTCCGAGATGTTTGTTGTGACTGATCTTCTGATGTTGAAAATACTAGGTTAGACAAAATTGTCTGGAATATAGTAGTATTAAATCTGAATGCCTCGACAGATACTATGTAAAGGTAATACTATGTCAGTATTAATAATGCTTTTTAAGGATTACCACCATTAGAAATTCCCTTCATTTTTTTAAGACTTTGACTAACAGCTGTACTATAGCACCAAAGGTTCTATTCAAAGGGTGAAAAAACTAGTTGAAATTGGTTTAAATTGACCGAGTTTTTTTTGAAGTTTAGTTGTTAAAAATACAATAGTTATTTGTGATGCAGTTGGAGTTCAAATTATGAACACTTGCACAAGAGCTGAATTGATTATGAAGAAAAAGAGAGATACATGATGATGAATGTAAAAGTGATTTTATTGATAACTCTCTCTAACTGAATTACAAAGTTCAGAGTTAATAAAGCATTAACTGTATTAATCAAAATCAAATACATCTCAACTGTATTAATGAAAACCAAATACATCTCAAATGCAATGCCAAATGAAAACACAAGTGAAATACAACTAAATAACAATTTTTTTATTTTTAATTACATTTAAATCATCCTTTAATTTATATTAAAAAAATTTCATAATCAACAATATCAATTTCATCCCTCAACTTGATAAATTGCTTAGTCTTGAAGTTGTTTTCGGGTACTGCAATGGACCACCTCAAACAGTCCACCTTAAATTTGTTTGCGCAGAAAATGATACTTAGTATCTATGTGGTTGCTTCTCCCATGCAGCACCAAGTTCTTGGCAAGGTTTATTGCTAACTTGTTGTCAATCATCAGTCTAATTGATATATCTACTACAAACCTCAGTTCCTGCAGCATATTGATTAACCAAACATATTGACAAGCAGATAACGCACCAAGTATATATTATACTTCACATGTTGGCAATGCAACCATTGGTTGCTTCTTGGAGCACCATGAAATGGGCGCTCCTTGAGACATGAACAGATAAATACCATGTAGTATTCTTTTTGTCCACTCTGTCACCACACTAGTCTGAGTACCAGTCTGAGTCTGAATAGCAGACCAATTCAACATTACTTGTTGTAGCAGATGGAAACATGATACCATACTTCAGTGTTCCTTTTAGGTACTTGAGTATCCTGACTGCAGCTTGGTACTGTGACCACTTTGGTATGCTCATGAATCTGATCACCATTTCAACTGCATAACACATGGCAGGCCTAATATTACATAAGTATATTAGAGAACCAACCAACTGCTTGAAATCAGTTGCATCTACATCTTCACCATCAACATCAACATCCAACTTATGAATTATTTCTACAGGTGTGACTGATGATTTACAGTCCATGAGTTCAAACCTTTTCAATAGCTCAACCTCATATTTTAATGGATGCACAATGATTCCCTTTGTGGTATGCATAAATTCCATTCACAGAAAGTACACCATATCACCTAGATCATTCATGTCAAAAACACCCATCAACACTCTCTTAAACTTTCTCATTTCAGTATTACAGTTTCTTGTCAACAACGTATTGCCCCTATTCAAGCGGCTTGGACCCGATTGGGTGAAGAGCCCGGAGCCTTCAGACATTCGCGGTACGAGACGGTTGAATACTAGGAACCCAGAAATTTGCCAACCGCAAAACTAAATTGCGCTCCTGCTTGAGGAACGACATTCATCAGCTGAATTTAACTGTTACGGCAACCCACTGATCTCGTAACGACCACGCTGGGGATTGTCTTCACCGTTCTGAAGAGGATTCTGTCATAACAGATTGCTTGCTTGTCCACGTTAGGACTCTGTCTGTCATCAATACGAAGAAATCTCAACTAAAACCTGTCCACGTTAGGACTCCACTTGCTGTTAACCCAGAAAAATCTCGGCAACTCCGCTGGGGATAATTCGTCTGCATTTCCATAAACTGAATCGTCCACGTTAGGAATAAAATTCTTCCACGTTAGGAGTAACACCTGTCCACGTTAGGAATCATTTTTTCTGTATCTGTCCACGTCAGGACTAACCCTTTCATCTTTTCACGTCAGGAAGCAATCTTCTTTCCACATAAGGAGAACTATATCAATCTGTCCACGTAAGGACTCCAATACCACTTGACATGTCCGCGTCAGGACTCCAATCTTTCCACGTAAGGAATTCAACTTTGGTTCTGAACCTGTCCACGTCAGGACTCAACTTTCCACATAAGGAGTACATCATTCTTCCACGTCAGGAATCAACTTTTCTTTCCACGTCAGGAATACAAGCCTCCTTCCACGTAAGGAATGCTATCCGTTTTCCACGCAAGGAAACATAACTTTTCCACATAAGGCAACTAATTCCTTCCGATTTGTCCGCGTCAGGACTACATTTTTCCACGTAAGAAATGCCATCTTAATCTGTCCACGTAAGGACTCCACTCTTTCCACGTTAGGAATCACCTCTTAATCTGTCCACGTAAGGACTCCAATCTTTCCACGTCAGGAATGCTATCATTTCCACGTAAGGAAACTATCTTTTTCCACGTAAGGAATCCTCTTCTGATATGTCCGCGTAAGGACTACATCGTCCACGTTAGGATCCACTTCTCCACGTTAGGAATAATAATAATTTCTTTGATTTGTCCATGTCAGGACACTGATCTCGTCTTGATTTGTCCACGTTAGGACTCAGGCGTCTTCGACCTGCTGAGGAAATAAGACTTGTCCACGTAAGGACTCGCACGCTTGTCTGATCTGGCCACGTCAGGGCACCAACACAAAGAGTAATCACTTTTGTCAACGTCCTGACCTCCCATTCCACTAATTTCGAGAACCCGAATCTGTCCACGTTAGGACTAACACACCTCACCAATCCGGGAAAATAAACCTGTCCACGTTAGGACGCCCACTTCTGAAGAAATCCCGTCAATCTAGGAATAAATTGTCCACGTCAGGACTTAGTTCTCCAATGATCCTCACCCACAAACTTCTTAGCACTGACGTGACAGCGACTTTGAGGTGGACTCTACTGGGGATATCTGGAAACCAAACTACCGGACGCCTGTTCTGATAACCGGCGGTGGCCTCTGAAATTCTGATTCATGGAACCCCTGATGACAACCAATTCTGCTTGGGAATAAAGAGAAACTTATCCTGGTAACTCTGTGGGGGATACTGCCGAAACTGACGTTATCATTGAATATCTCATGCCGAGATCTTGAGTGTTTGGTAGTTCATTTAAGCAAGAGCTCTCTCTACCTGAATTGCTAAAGTACAGGAACTGCTTCAGCAAAATAAATGCTGAAGATAATGCCGACTCCGCCGGGGATAGCCAGATGCTACAGAATTATTCCAGCAAAATAAATGCTGGAAGGGTGAAGTCAACCCTGCTGGGAAATTGGGAACTCAAACCGAGCACCCTGTCGAGGTAACCCCCTGCTGGGGAAAATAACCTTGCTGGGGAATAGCCAATGTGCATAGTACGATCGGACTTTCTGCTGGAACGTGAACTGATATCTGA